CATTGAATCAATGGGATTTATTTATGTGATGTCTCATCAACCAACAGTTGATTCAGTGGCTCTGCTTTAAGTGGGACTAACCACTAGGGATCTGGCCAAAGCCTTTGCACAAAGCTATGGTGCAATCACAACTGGGATACCATGTAACGTTCTAGTTGCTTGCCCTCAAAAATGACATTGGAGAGATGGAAAAGGTGCAGAAATTGGGGACTAAGGGTGCAAATCTTGAAAGAATCCCCCCCTGTCCCCGCAGACATAGTTTTATCATTTTTCTCCTCACTGCAAGAAAGTCATCGAAAACTGTGCAGTTTTGAAAGACTATTCACAGTTGGGACTTACTCTGTGCACACAAAAAAAGCACATTTTTTTGGCATCAAAAACTGTATTTTCTGCACAGAAAACACATTTCTCATGCAAAAACAAAACAAGCTTCCTGTGCAGAAAACAGCATTTTCTGCACAGAAAACAACACAGACTGAATGACGCAGTTCTTAATCATGACTAGCAGGATTGCCTGGCCACTGCATGTGACAAGTTATCTGGTTCTTACCATCCAAGTTGTTCTTTTTCTTTTTAATTGAAGCTCGAAGTAGCTCTGATCCTTCCAACTCCTCCTGGAAACGCTGTGCCTTCACTTCGTGAAACCATTCCCCCGTCACAAATTTCTTCTTCTTTTCATCCTTCAGTGAGCCTTGCAAACGTCTAGGGAGAAATACATTTTATATGCAATTACTGAAAAGATATTTCTTAAACCACCCTTGATCCAAGATTCTAGCATGGGAATGCATAACTGATAAAATTGAAAAAAAGTTTGCATTTCTATAATGTGTAAACATGGTAATTTTATATGTTAAGTACATGTGAATGAATACCGAGTTATAGGTAGAAAATGGTTGGTGAAGAATCAAGCTGTATGTAGATGGTGATTGGTGGAGAGAGTGAGTGGGAGGGGATTTTGGAACAATATGGTGAGAATGAAGGAGTCAGGGTGCATCTACACTGCAGAATGAATGCAGTTTGACCCCACTTCAAGTGATGTAGTTCCAGCCTATGGGATCTTAGGATCTGTAGTTTTACAAGGTGTTTAGCTTTCTCTGCCAAAGAGTGCTAGAGCCTTACCAAACCTCACCTTTAAGTCTGGTTTATTCCAGACTTATAGGAGTTGTCCAAGGTGCTGAACTCTATCCCCCAAATAAATTCAGCACCATGAGGATCTCTTTTAAAATCTGGAAAAATACCAAGAGTGCATTTATTGCACTACTGAGATGGAACCCCCTCTGTCCCATATCCAGCCAGGTTAACATGCACAGTACCCAAAGGCTGCCAAGAAATTTTGGCACAGAAAGTCAAAGATCTCACAATCACCCTTCCATATCTTTGGAATATAAAATAAAAACCACCACCACCACCACCACTTAAACAGCTATCCATATGTTCCCTCAAACACGTGGCCCAATGCTATCATTATCTTTCATGAAACCTCACCTTTCTGTACCCGAAAATACTTTATTACAGTCCTGGCATCCTACCTGATACGGTCGCTGTCTTTTTTCTTGAGTTCTGCATCTCTCTGCAGAACTTTCATCAGTTTCCCGTACTCCTCTTCCGTTAGAAAGCTGAGGTCCAGCATCTTCCCCTCGGCTTCCTTCAGCCAACCAACAGGCTGGTACTTTGGAAACAACAACAACGACAACGACGACAACAACAACAACAACAACAACAACAACGGTTAGGTGGCCATTGATCCTTTAGAGGAGACCCTGCAAGGACAGTTATCAGAACTGGGAATGTGCGGGGAGCACTAGTTCACATCCACATGCCTTGGAGAAAGACCTAATGTAGGATCCAGTTGGGTGCATCAAAGCATGGACCTGTTCTTCTGTGATTTGACCCTCTTTGCAGCATGTCCGTGGAAGCTAGAGTAGTCCCTCCATAGAGTTTTGCTCCTTCACTTTGTCCACATCCAGCAGAGGAAACATAAATGAACCAGCTCCCTCGATGCAAAGGTGAGGTGCTATCAGATTTGAAGAACTGACAAAGGAGAAATCAAGGACAGGAGCAACCGCCACTTTGTTCCAGCATGGGACTCTTCCAGTCAAGACATCTTGCAGGTCTGGTTTAGCATCTCCTGCAAAGAAAGGGACAGAGGACGAAAAGAAAAAAGAAACATGAACTGAGATGCCTTTTTTTGATAAAGGCAACATGTGGTGACCGCATGTGTACATTGGGGATGTTGACTTGCTCCTGAGTACATGACTTCCAGCAAGCAACACTCTTGCGCTTGCAGAAAGAGGAAAGTGAGAGGGAGGAGAGAAGGAATCCAGCAGGAACCCTAGGAACCCCTTTAAGAGTAACCGATTTATTTTAGCAGCAGCTTTCATGGATTTCAGTCCACTTTCTCAGATGCTCCGGACAGTATCATATCCACGGGTTATTGTTACAGTCGGTCCTCTGTATCCACAGATTCCTTATCCATGGATTCACGCACCCACTGCTTGAGAATATTTCAAGAACATTATGAATTCCAAAAAGCAAACCTTGATTTTGCCATTTTATATAAGGGGCGCCATTTCACTAGGCCGTTGTATTTAAATGGGATTGAGCAGCCATGGATTTTGGAACCAAACTGCAATGGATACCAAGGGCTAACTGTACTTGCTGTCAAATTGATTCCAACTATTGAGACACTATGAGACCTCCAAGAGTCCTGGTCACCAACTGCCTTGGTCAGGTCTTGCAACTACAGCTTCCTTTATTGAATTTAGCCATGTCTAAGTATGATCTTCCTTTTTTCCTACTGCCTTCCACTTTACCAAGCATTGTCTTCTTTTCCAATGAGTCACATTGTCTCATAATATATCCATAGTACAACAGCCTCATTTTAGACACCTTGGCTTCTAGTGAACATTTGGGCTTTATTTGTTTTAAGTCTCATTCATTATTTACCTTTTTCAGAGTCTCTGCAGAACTCTTCTCCAGCACCCTAATTCAAAGGAGATGTTTTTCTTCCTGCTCTGATCATCTTTCAGACAGGAAAGCTCATGCTAAAATAAGGCAGTTAGTCTTAAGTACTGTATATACTCAACTATAAGTCGACCTCATGTATAAGTCAAGGGCAAGTTTTTGGGCAAAAATTAGTTATTTTGATATGACCCGAGGATAAGTTGAGGGTAAAACTTAGAGGCATGTAGCAAAGGATCTAAAGGATGAAGCCAAGGAAAACAATGCCAAAGAACTTTTAAAAATTCCAGCAAGTATAATAACTGTTTGCACTCATACTAAAAGCTGGATGGATAAGAGAATAGAGAGGGGTCAGTGCTTCTCTTTTAAAAGAAGAATTAAAGTACATCACTTTGCAGGTTTTTGGGGGTCAATTTTTTGAGTAAAATTTCTAGACTTATACCTTAGTATATACAATAGATTCCTGCTAGATGCTTCGTTGTTTGTGCTCATATTGTAACAGGCTGTTTTCCTCCGCATTATTATTTAACTTGATTCACAGCAATTGATTACAATAAAGTATGCCTATTTAGCAAGCTAGGTCTTAAAACCAATTGCTAGTTCCAGTTGCTAGGTCCTAAAGCCAATTGTCAAAGCAACACATAGCAAATTCTCATTGATTGAAATGATCAATTATAGTGGTGGTTAGCAATTGGATTTAGGCCACCCAAAAAGAAGTAGAATTTCTCTTGTTTTACGTGTTTCCACTGGAATTTTAACCACGGGAATCTTTAGTTCCAGGAAAGATTTAGCCCTCCCCCCATGTATTTGTTTTTATGCAACTTCTATATTATTGTTTTCTTATTGTATACTTTTATTTTTATGTTTGTAACCTACCTTGATTCCCTTTGGAAATAGGTGGGCTAGAAATTAATCACATAATAATAATAATAATAATAATAATAATAATAATAATAATAATATTTATTTATATCCCGCCCTATGGAAATCCAATCAGGGCAACTTACAACCATAAAAACATATACAATACCATAAAAACATATACAATACAACAGACCCCCTCCCCCCTTAAAAGAGTATTGAATCAATAATAATTTAAAACAGTGATTCAATTAAAAACCTAATATAAACCAATATATACCATTATTGTTATTATTATTAGATGGGGTGTCAAAGCAAAGATGCTTTGTGTGTGTGTGTGTGTGTGTGTGTGTGTGTGTAAAAGCTCATCAAGGCAAGGACAAAAGACCAAAGCTTGTGAGAAAGCAGGGCTTGCATATCTCTCGCTCAGCGCTGCTAAATTCACAGTATCCAGTGGGCAGAAATAAATAGATCCCGCAGCTCTTTGCCTGTCCCATGGAGGGATCATGTGCTTGGCCGCAACAGATTATGCGCCTTGCACATTGCCTTTTGTAATAATAACTGTTCCTCATGCCTCTGTGCCTCCAGGGGCCTTGGGAAAAGAAAGGCCATAAAAGTTTTCATTGCAATCTCCCATGCGCACGCCATTGACTTAAGAGCACCTACGGGGTAAAAAACAAAACAAAACAAAACAAAACAACCCAACCACAACACAACCCCAGTTGGCAAAAATATTGTTGCCATAAACACCGCGTGAAAGAGAATTTTGGGTTTAGACATTGGTCCCATTTCTTTGCTTTATTTTGACTTTACTTTATTTTATGATGTTTTCTGTTTTAATCGGGGGTTAGGGAATTATGCTGAATGTCATTGTGATATTTTATGATTGTTACCCGCCTCGATCCTTTGGGGAGAGGCGGGTAATAATAATAATAATAATAATAATAATAATAATAATAATAATAATAATTTCTCTCCATTATGGTTTTTCAACATATCTGCAGAAGATAGCTCTCTTTTGGGAATGTCCTGCAACTAAGAGCCTGCTTGCTAATAGAAGTGCATCTCCTTGGCTCACTTCCAGATCAGTGTGAATGGAACCTGTAATCTGGAGACACCTAGAACCGGAGATGGTTAAGGTATTTCCAGATTGCAGGTTCCTGCTCAGAGATGGTTAAGACATAGTGGCATAGTGGTTTGAGTGTTGGACTATGACTCTGGAGGACAGGGTTCGATTCCCCGCTCGGCCATGAATCCCACTGGGTGACCTTGGGCAAGTCACACTCTCTCAGCCTCAGGGGAAGGCAATGGCAAATCTCCTCTGAACAAACCTTGCCAAGAAAACCCTGTTAACCAAGAAAAACCCCATGACAGGTTACCCTACTGAAAAATGAGTTACATTACTGAACACAAAGACTCATTACAGGTAATGATGGTACTGATAACTTGTTAAGACACACAAAGGAGCACCATTGTGAAAACTGTCTACAATCTTAGGTTGTTGGCTCTGGATATAATTCTACAGGTTGAGCCTCCCTCCCTTATCCTGAATTCCAAAATACTCCAAAACTCAACCTCTTTTTTCCCCATGGGTGTCTGAGATAGTTACACCTTTACTTTCTGATGGTTCAATGTACCCAAACTTTGTTTCATGCCCAAATTATTTTTAAAAACTTTGCATATAATCACTTTCAGGCTATGAGGTGTATATAAAACATAAATGAGTTTGGGGTTTAGACGTCAGTCCCATTTCCAAGATATCTCATTACGGATGTATATACAGGTATTCTGAAATTCAGGTATTCTCAATATTCACATATAGGATATTTTGAAATCCAGGTATTCTGAATATAAGGTATTCACATACAGATATTCTGAGATCCAGGTATTTTGAATCCAGGTATTCTGGATATTCACATTCGGGGTATTGTGAAATCCAAGTATTCTGAATACAGGTATTCTGAATAGTCACATACTAGTATTCTGAAATCTAGGTATCCTCAATACAGATATTCTGGATAGTCACATACAAATATTCTGAAATCCAGGTATTTTGAATACAAGTATTCCAGATATTCACATACAGGGTATTCTGAATACAGATATTCTGGATAGTCACATTCAGGGTATTCTGAAATCCAGGTATTCTAAATCCAGGTATTTTGGATTGTGACATACTAGTATCCTGAACTTCTAGGTATTTTGAATGCAGGTATTCTGGATATTCACATACAGGTATTCTGAAATCCAGGTATTCTGAATACATGTATTCTGGATAGTCACATACAAGTATTCTGAAATCCTGATATTCTGAATACATGTATTCTGGATATTCACATAGAGAATATTCTGAAATCCAGCTATTCTGGCTATTCACATTTGGGGTATTCTGAATTCTAAAAATACCTGAAATCCCAAACACTTCTGGTCCCAAGCATTTCAGAGAAGGGAGACCCAACCTGTCCTTCTTCTGTGGTTGCTTATGAAAGCACCCCTGAGAAGTTTCAGGATCTTCTTGTATCAGTTTTTGCTCAACGCCCCCCCCCCCCAAAAAAAATTGGGAACAGCTCATAGTTTCAGTGCAGAATGGCTTGTCCTACGTTGGCAAGTAATTCCATTGTTTGTGCTGCCTATATATACCCTTGGCAGCTGAAAGAGTCAAATCACACAGAGGCAGGTGTGTGCAATGTCTATGTGAGCAGGATAAAGAATTGCTTAGCAATGTTCAGGATCAAAATGTATCTGGACAGGGCAGGCAAGATTAAAAGAGTTTTTTCTCTTTGAGCTAGTATTATTCATTAACTCTGCTGGAATGGGCTCTAGAACAAAGGAGGTGCTTATTGCCTTAGAGATCTAATTAATCAGAAATCTTGGCTCTGTACAAATTATGAGTCTGTTTTATCTGCATTTATGGGACACTAGGAGTCCATCTACACTGGAGAAATAATGCTTTAATAGCAGTTGCTCCATCCTACAGGCTACTGGGATGTATAGTTTTGCGAGGCACCAGCACCTTTTGGCAGAGAAGGCTAAAGACCTTGTCAAACTACAAATCCCAAGGTTCGACAGGATGGAGCTATTGTCAGTAAGTGTGTGCTCTCCAGATGTTGTTGGACACCATCTTGCATGAGCCCCAGCCAGCATGGCCATTGGTGGTGGATGTTGGGATCTATAGTCTCCTAACATCTGGTGGTGGTGGTGGTGATGTGATCCCTATCCGAATGAAAAGTCAATTGGTACAAATCAGCTGCCCCTGAAGACAATATGGAAGCCTGCTACCAAACTGAACAAAGACACAAAGCAACACTGAGATGTCAAAAGGCTGTCCAGCTCCATAGGAAGGAAGCATGGCCAGTGGTGGTGGATGCTGGGATCTATAGTCTCACCAAATCAGGTGGTGGTGGTGGTGGAGTGGTCCCCATTCCCAGTGAAAAGTCAATTGGTTCAGAACAGCTGCCATGGAAGATGGTTTGGAAACCTGCTCCGGTACCGAACAAAGGCACAAAGAAAAACCGAGACGTCGAAAGGCTGTCCAGCTCTATAGGAAGGAATTGCTGAGCTGGCACGACGTCCCATTGCAAACAAAGAGCACTGTGTGGCCCATCGCTCCCGCTCCGGAGCGTGCGTCCTATTCCACCTGCCAAGGGTTCAAGGTCTGGCCAGCTCTGTCAATATCTCGGCATAATCTCACCCTTCAGAAATGCTCTTCTGAATGCTTTTATTGTTCGAATGCAGCCTTTTCAAAAAACGAAAGCCTTGCAGACGAAGTCATTCAGGCCCTTCCACCTGTCACAGCTTCTGACTGTAATAAGATGGCGAAGACGTATTATGGTCCCCTAAGATAAAATATTCCTCTCCGGGGCTCCAGACTTAGTACCGCATTACCTGCCTAAGGAATTCAGGCGGTCGCCATAAACCAACAGGTAACTTGAAGGCACACACACACACACACAGAGAGATATAAAAGCTCAGCAAGGACAATGTGCTTGTTGTATGGCTGCCATTGTATGGCCACCAATTCTCCCTTGGATTGTATTATAAATCAATAGTGTTATCTCCAGCTCTGAAAGGTGGTGGCACAAGAGAACCGGCCGCAGGTTATCTCCAGCTTGGTTTCCAACAAAGGCACCCAAGTGAAGAAAACCTGGTTCTTCTGACCATTGTTTGCAAGCTGCAAAGGCACCTCAAGACTGAAGAAGTCTAGGGTTCCCTGAACCAGGGGGAAAAAAAGTAAATCAAATATAACTGTTTTGGAGGTGATCTCAAATGGAGGGATTTGTCTTTCCAACAGCATGCCGAGATGCTATTGATTGGGACAACAATTTACCAAAGCTGACACCAATATTCCCAAATATTTAACCTGCATCTCTCTCATTATTCTGACCGATGTCCTCTTTGTGCGGTTGAATAAAGCTCACCTTGTTTCAGACTGATCACCCCAAGCAGGTGCAGAGTCACTAAGATCTGTGCAACCTTTTCAGCTCCGATTCAATGCTCTGCAGATGCAAGGGGAGCCATTGAGAGTTAACACTTGCAATTTGTGCCCTCTAAGGCCATCTTCTTTGAAACTATGCAACTAGAGAAGACAGGACTGACCAGAGCAAGGACTGAAGGAACAGCAGCAAATACTACAGCAACAGATGGAAAGGGGGACAACGTACTATCCAACGGTCCCGATATAGCAAGGACAGTCCCAAATAATCCTCTGCCATCCCACTTTTTCAGCTGCTCTTAAAATGTCCTGGTTCTCTTTCCTAATTCCTTTGTCCCCAGCTTACTTCAATAGCTGCAAACTGAGTTAAAATGCAAATTGCACTCAATTTATTTGGTACGAACAAAGGGAGATGAGGGAGCGGAGCAAACTGCTGTAGTCTTTCCTGGCTTGCCTGTTCTTCACTATTAATGGGGGGAAAACAGGCAAGCTAGGAGAGGCTACAGCAGTTTGCTTTTGCCTGAGCTTACTGGGGAAGGAAAGATTATAACCTTTGCCATCTTGAGCACTTTCTGATGTTGCTTGGTCACGTTTTCTTTTTTTAATGTGTGAAACGTTGGCAGGTATGTGAGAAGGGAATTCTTCATCGAGTGGTTATCTACACATTTTGTTTTGCAACGTGGCTATGCGAATCATCTCACTCATGCATTCCTGATTTATTGTTCACACTATATATTGTTTTATCGGAACTGCATCTCTGCAAGTTGTGTTTCTCACACTATTGCAAACCATCTGTTGCAAATAAAGATACGGATGTATTCGAAACACGTTCAAGGCATGCAGTGCTTTATCCCGTTTTATCCCAGGTCTATCCGCATCGGTTATTCGCACAACTGACAACGCAAATCTTTCAGGAAAACTAAAGAAATCCGAAACCTGAGATCGATTACCCTGGGTTTTACGGATTTTTGGGAAGCCCCCTACAAAGAAACTTAATTGTAGCTTCCATTTTTAAGCTTTGCATAAGACACTGAACTGACCGTCTTTTTGGTGTTGCAATCTTATTCATTTGAAATTGGCAATGCGGAACTTGCAAGAGGATGCATCCTGTAGTCTAGACTAGTTAAACAGACTCCACCTCTAGAATCCACACGATTCCCAAATATTTAACCTGCGGCAGTTAACACACAAGAATCAAATGTTGTTCTGCAATTTTGAAAAAGATAGTAATGCAAGATTGGGATGCATTTGTAGAAAACCAGCATGATGTAGTGGGTTGAGTGCTGGAGTATGACTGTGGTGGTCAGGGTTCGGATCTCTGCTTGGCCCTGGAACCCCATTGGGTGACCTTGGCAAGTCACACTCTCTCAGCCTCAGAGAAAGGCAATGGCCATCCTCCTCTGAACAACCGTGCCAAGAAAAGCCCAGGATAGGTTCGTCTAAGGTTGTCAGAAACAACTTGAAGGCACACAACAATAAAGCCTACCCCAAGAGCAATGAAAGATGCTGAGAACAGAAATGGCAACTACCTTGCCCCACACAAATATTATTTAGACAGTGAAGGTCCACATCAATAGAAACAAAGACTAATCACAAGACCTTAGCTCCTTTGCTGTGCTATTGCTGTAATGAATGAATTTTTTACACACAAGGCATCTAGATTGCATGCATCCCTAAATGCTCCATTGCCTAGAATATGTGAGAAATATGTTAGAATAGTTATCAGCACTGTTAGGATAACAATATTGTAGCATTACAATACAGTCGGCCCTCCATATCCTTGGATTCAATCATCCATGGCTTGGAAATATTATATAT